TTAATCCGCGAAGCCTCATCACTTATGATAAGAACTACTGCCGACTTTAAACACGAATAAAAACAAAACCTCTCACTTTTCTGAACTCAAACTTATTTAGTGTCCAATATATTAAAGAAAGGATTAAATGAAAGAGTTTTTGTCTTTGAACATCCAACTTCAAAAGTTAGACTAAAGTGAGGATCGAACCCACAACCTCAGATCATTAGACGTGAGTTTCCTGCATATTTTTTTCAGAGATTTCGACTTTTTGTTGTTGAATATCCAACTTTAAATTTGAGGGAAGTTTGAACCCACATCCTCAAACTTCTCAACAGGGCATCACCACCTTGAGTCACCTGACCTGGGTAAAAGTAGGCTTGAATCTACAATTTAAGAGCTTCAGAGCATTGTTCTAACACCATGAGCTATATGTCAGACACTTTCCCTGTCTTTCTCAGAGCTTTTGACTTTTTCCTTTGAACATCCAACTTCAAATTTGAGGGAATCCTTAAAAACACCATGATTTACTTGCAATGGGACAACATGGGCTTAAACCTACAACCTCAGAGTAAATAATGAATAATAAAATGTGTGCCGTGACAAAACTGACTTTAAACTTTGTTTGGAGCTCAATGGGGTGAAGGACAGAGGGCTCAGCTCCACACAGAGAGAGAGAGAGCTGAGAGAGCTGACAGAGATGTTGTTACAACCACAGTGCTCTTGTTAATCTAATTTGAAGGAACAAGCGATGTAAATATGCTAATGCTGTATCAAATCTAAAAGGTCATTATGTCAGGATCAGGTTTACAGCTTGTTTCTGCCACCGTACTCAAGTGGCCCGTGTTTACTGTTGCATTTTGTTTGTTTAATCCATACAGAAACCAACAGTGTGTGTTAAAGGGGAATCACATTAATCATATTGTTTCCAGGCAATTTACTTTCTGTTCAGATAGGTCAGGCCTACAGTGCAGCAAATGTAACAAATTAAACATTTTACTGACATAATTGTGCAGAATATCAAATTTGATATTCACTAACAAGCCAAATCTAAACCTGACACATTATTAAGGCAATTAAATGTAACTTTTTATTTTATTTTCAGATGTGAGATCATTTTATCTGAGTCCAGAAGTTTTCCCAGTTTGGAGAATCATTATAACTTAATCAAGTTGAAATCAGGTTGTGATGAGACTAAATGCTGTTTTACACTTAAAGTAATGCTCCTGTGTGGAGGAAAGAAAACAAGAACAAGTGGTAACTGAGATATGACTGAGTGGTTGAGGTCTGACAGGACAGACTGTAGCTGTTCAACTCACCTGCTGCATGAGGGCCATTCATTGTGCTCTGAATTCTGGGATATGATGTTTTACTGCCCTCTGCTGGTCAATGTGAGAAACTGCTTTGTACCCTTTATGCCTGCAGTGACTTATCTAAAGAGCCCCACTGGTTAATATTAAATAAATAATGTGTGACATATATTAATAATATCATAATTTGTAAAATAATTTAAGAAATGATTAAAACTCAAC